TGTTATCTTAAATTTAGTCTTTTATTTTATTTGTTATTCCATTTTAAAATGAGTTCAAATTCTGATTCTGTTTATGTTGTGTTATATTACAATGGTAGGAAGGTAGAAGGTCGACGAGGTGTCATGTTTGAAGGTGAAAAAAGGCCGACATATATCCAACGCCACGCAACCATTGACGAACTGCATCAGAAAATTTGTCAGAAGTTAAGTCTTCAAGGTAACCAATGTATCACTCAGATCACCACAAGGTTATGGCAATCTGAACAATACATTAGTTTGCAAGTGGTTGACGATGAAGACGTGGAGATGATAATGGAAGAATTTTTGAACCAGTCAAGGAAAGATTTTCTGGAGTTGTATGTGGACATTGCAGGATCGGAGGATGTTCCATTACTAGTGAGTTTAGTTGCTTTAAATTCTCCCCATCTTGCATCAACTTCTGCTGCTTATGCTTCTCCAGTTGGTAACATTTCTGAGGGAGATGAAAATGATCCGACTTGGGTTATGCAAGACGACGACGACGATGATGAATATCATAATGGAAGAACGTCTTTTGGCCGAGGATGTTAGTGCTTCAGAAGGAGGTGTGTAAGAACCCGCACCGTTAATTAAGGAAATTAATTAATTAATTATGAGAAATTAGGAAATAATTCCATAATTGACTTTAATAATTATGAGAAGGCTTAAATAATTATAGAAATTAATTAATAATGCTGAAAGTCGCTTTTCTGACGAAAAGTGCAGATATCGGTTCTGCTACTCGGTGTAAATGCATACCAATTAAGTATCCCGAAAAATTATGAAAAGTGTGTATATGTCACTAGAATAATATGTAGGACTTGTAAAACAAGTTTCAAGTTAAAATGATGAGAACTGGTGCCAAAACTAATAGTGGCTATGGAAAAGCGCGTACCGAAAAGGTGCTGCGAAAAATAAAATAAAAATATGATAAATCTTAGAAAAATGAGTAGGTTCAGAATCCTGAGTTTGGGATTAAAATGCTAAGTGTAGCTATTAGTACTAATACAGTGTGATCAAGACTTAAGTGAGTTATATATACCCATTTGGCCCAAAACCCTAGGCCATGTTGTGCCTTCTACGTAGGATTTCTGAAGAGAGAAGTCAGCTACCTTGCCTTCCTCTCCCACCTCCATTGAAGATCCAAGGGAGCACCTTTTCTTCATATTCCTTCACCTAAACACCTTGGGTGAGTGTGAATCATCATTGTGAGTGAGAAAGGAGCACCATTTCTGAGTTTGGGTTCTGTTTAGTGAGGGTCTTGTGGCTGAGTTCTTGGGTTGTGGTGTTGGGGGCCATTATCTTGGTCGTTGAAGCTCCAACTGTCAACCTTTGTGAAGAAAAACCAAGTCTTGTGCGCCATTTCCGTGCACCCTTGTTGTCTGAACTTTGGAGCTGAAGTGAGAGCTCCAAGAGCACCTTTAGCTTCTGTTTTGAAGCCTTGGGTATGTTTCTTAACTTGATCATGAGTTTTAATGGGTTAAAGCTTGAGTCTTGGCATGTAATATGTTAAAATGAAGTAACCAACACGTATATGAATCTGTACATGCCTAAAAATGGATGCTTGGACATATAATAAGGGTAAAAGTTGGACCTTTGGGTGATATCTTCGCGAAAATGTAGAACTGCATTCTGTCGCAAAATATCCGGATATTGATATCCGGATATTGCCCCGACAAATATCTGGATATTCTGGGTTTGCGTGAACAGTAACAGTACTGTTCATACAGAACTGAGTTATGGGTTTGTGGACTCTAGATTGATGAAGTTGGACTTCTGCAATGACTTATTAAGTCAGAATCTAAGTGATTAAGGGCTTGTGGCTTTGTGAAAAGCCTTAAGATATGAAATGTAAAGGAAAGGCGTTGTCTTTATATTGTATACTTGTTGAGTATGATTATTGATATGTTTGCTGGTCCAAACAGATTGTGATTGTGCTGTGTATGGACTTTGAGCTTGTGTGGATTCTTGGTTCGGATAGTTAGCTTGAAAGGTAAGCTTTCGTGTCCTCGATTTAGCCATTATTTGTTCCACCATGTCCCATGGTGGGATGGTCATATGCATGATGTGTTTTCATGTACTGCTTATTTGAAATGCTACGGAGTTGTTAAGTGCAATTGCTTATGATATGTATGTGGTGTTTCGCCTAGACAGGAGGCCATGGGGTGGTCCTGTGGGCGGGTACAACATGAGCGTGTACTGTGTGAGTAATAAACGTATTCATGCACTTCTCTGATCAGTAGAATAGTTATAACATACATGACATGATTATCTGCTGCATTGCACTGGTTTTGGAACTGATATTGAATTACTATTTTTAGAACTTATATTGCACATGTAAGTGAGCTTGGGGTGAAAAGTCATTGATAACCCCTTGTCTTACTGAGATTTCTGTTTAGAGATCTCACCCCACGTTTGGGGCGCTTATTTCAGGTTCAGGTAATGCGGGGGTTGAGACCTCTAGCGGCAGGAGGCCGGAGCTTAGTTGATTTATATGTTGATATGCTGATTATGTTGGATGTTGTATTATGCTTGTTGCTATTTGCTGTTAGCTTTATGAGTATGTTGCTGCTGTTGTTGAGACCTTGGTTGGCTATGTTGCCTTATTTGGTGAGCATGGAGATTGTCCATGCCACATTGATTGACTTGCTTTATTTTAGATTCGAGTTGTAATAATGCATCAGGATTATGTCCGGACTACGGGGGGTGTATTGGATTAGGATTTTAAAAGATTTTTTTGAGATAAAAAATCCTACAGATTTTAAATGACATTTTAGAATTGGAGAGACTTTATAGACTTTTTAAAATACTTTTTTTACAATCAAGATTTCATAGGATTGGATTTTAATAGAATTCATAAGATTTGAAAGGACAATATGGATTTATAAGATTTTAAAAAACCATATGAATTTTTAACAAACATTCAAAATTACAAGAGTTAATATAAAAGGGAAAGGTTATACTTACAGCCTATTTTTGTTTACAATATTTTACAATCATATCTTAACCGTTGATTTATGTCAATCAACGGTTATCATTCATTGCAAATTAAATATTATTAATAAGTTTGACTTGCGAAAATAATAACCATTAATTGACGAAAATCAACGGTTAAGATATGGTTGTAAAAGGTTGTAGACAAAAATAGGTTGTAAGTATAATCTTTCACATAAAAAAAATAACAAAGAAATACAATGAAATTAATAAAAAAAGTAAAACCAAATATAATTTTCTCAATCAGTAAAACATAATGGGAAGGATATATTTACCACAAAAAAGTTTACCACCTTTACAACTAACTTAATCACCATTGATTTTCGTCAATCTAACGATTATAATTTATTAGAAATTATTAGGTCGTATTTATTAATTCCCAATAAATTAAAACCGTTAGATTGAAGGAAATCAATGGTGATTAGGTTGGTTGTAAAGGTGGTAAAATTTTTTGGTTGTAAGTATATCCTACCCCAAACATTAATATAATTTTTAACAAACATTTAAAATTACTAAACAACAACTTTTCACATATCTAATGGGTTAAAAATCATCTTCTTCATTTGGTATCAAAGCTATGCATATATGATTATAAGACCCAATTTTTTTTAATCATGAAAATAATTCTAAATTTGCATATACAACCTAAAGTTCATGATAAAATTTCGTTTGGAATTTTTTGCAATTGATCTTGAAAACCTTGGGGTTTTTGAATTTTTTTAATCATATATCATATGCATATTTTCATTGAATATTAAGAAAATTTTGAATCTGAAATTTTGGGTTTAATTACATGAAAATTAAGAAAATTTCTCAAATTTTTTTCAATCGATACATTGAAATCTTAAATTGCTTTGAGGCTTTTGAGAAACAAGCTTTTAGTTATCTATTGACACAAAAATTGCTTGAAATCGTTTCTTACAGTGAAGGAATTTCATTCATGAATGTATTGTTACGAAATATATGGTTCATATTATGAAAGTTTCAATCTTTCTTTAAATTGATATTGTTTCATTGATGTAAAACGAAAATAATACGAAAGTTTCCCTGTTATTTTTTCACTATTTTATGTTATTTTTAATACAAAAAGCACATTTTTGTGCCAAGAAAAATTGCGACCCATAGCTTGAAAAATCACTTTTTAAACTTTCTAAATTTCTCAAAAATGGATAAAAAATATGTTATTTTTGAGATAGATTATATTAACATGTCGTTGATTTGTTGTTTCTGGGTTATTTTGTGATGAAAATCGTTTAAAAAGTATGTTTTTTTTTTAGTTTTGACGAAGCTCCCATGGCGGAACTCAATTTCGAGCAGTCAACCTACCAAAGTAAGAAGAAAACACTGCAATAGAAGAATCTCAAGAAATCTTAGGGGTTGGGGTGAGATTGTGAGAGAGGCATCTTATTTATATTTTTTCACAAAAAAGTCTCACGAAATCCACACCAATAGAAAATCCATTAAAATTGTCAGATTTTTGAATACCACGAGATTGTGATTCCATTGTTTAAATTCCTGATTAAATACCAACAAATTTGGACGGATTCTAAAATAATCCTTTAAAATTCTAATCGAATACCATATGACTTTTTTTCAATCCATTAAAATCATAATCGAATACCAACGGATTTTTTTGTCCAAAAACAATCCATTAAAATTATTTGAAATCTCAATCCAATACACCCCTACATGTTGTAGTTCTGTGATTTTTAGATACTCACATTTAATTATATATATGAGGTATTTCAGTTAATGTTGAACTGCAATTACATACCGGCGATGTTTTTATGAAAATGATTAAGTAATGAACTTGACTAAGTATAATGACATCATAATTGAAAAAAAAAAAAATATTCCGCAAATTTAATTAAGCGTGACTGAAATGTTAACAAACCTGGTATACACCGTATAAACACTATAATTTGAATCATCCTTTTTGCCACAAAATCCTTCATTGATTCTAAAGTCTTTGTATGAATCTCAATACCATGTTGAAAGCGTTTCTCCGTCAGAAAGCTTTTGGTGTCTCTAGAATATCAACAACCCTAAAATTTGCCCCTTTTTTGCCGCACTCGCTGTTCCCATCTTCTCTCAAATTCTGCAGCACAAGCACTTCAGATCAACACTCATTTGCGGTGTCCTACCTCATCCACAATTGTGGGTTCTCACCAGAATCTGCTCTCAAAGCTTCCAAGCGTGTTCGTTTCAAGACCTCACAAAAACCCGATTCAGTTCTCAACTTCTTCAGAAACCACGGTTTCTCAGACTCAGTTATATACAATATCATCAAAAGAGAACCGTGGCTCCTTTCATGCGATACCAACACAAGGATTTTGCCAAAGTTTCGATTTTTACTCTCCAAAGGCGCTTCTACCTCTGACATTGTTCTCATTGTGACAAGGAACCCCAGATTCCTACAATTAAGCTTTGAGAATTGTATAATCCCAGCATATAATTTGGTAAATAGATTCCTTCTATCTGATGAAAAGACCATTGCTTCTCTAATTCATTGTCCTTCTTTGCTTTATCGCAATTTTTCAGCCCTTAATATCAAATTATTAGTTGATTATGGTGTGGCCAGTTCCATGATTTTCAGAATCCTTCGTAACAGTCCTCATGTAATCGGCAGTAGTGACTTGGTGAAGACGATGCAGGAATTAACAAACCTGGGATTTGATCCTTCCAAATCATACTTTGGTATTGCACTGATTGCCAAAAGATCTGTAAACAAATCCCAATGGAATGAGAAAATTGATACCTTTAAGAGGTGGGGTTGGTCTGAAGAAACAATTTTGGAAGCATTTAGGAGGCAGCCCAACTGTATGTTAACATCGAATGATAAAATCAATAGAGTGATGCAATTTTGGGTCAATCAGTTAGGTTGGAGTTCTTCTTACTTGGTCAAAGGACCTGGTATTTTTGGATATAGTTTGGAGAATAGGGTCATTCCAAGGGCTTTGGTTATCCATTATCTTCTATCCAAAGGTTTGATAAGCAGCAGTGCCAGCTTAGTTACACCGTTTATTATGTCTGAGAAATTGTTCCTGAAAAGGTTTGTTGAATATTTTGGAAAGGAGGAAACTTCACAGCTATTAAAGTTATATCAGAGAAAAATGAAAGATGAAGATAAGAGAGTACAGAGGGAACCGTGACATGTCACGTCCAAGAATCCATTTTTTATATAAACTATCTTTGCTGTTTTACAAGTTCATGATTGCGGCTTCTAGGTTTTGATTGTTAAGTACTTCTAACTACTCTTCCATTGGTTCATTGTCATTTTAAGGGAACTTCTATTTTGTTTAGATTTAAGGGAGTTCTTGTTACTGGTGTGCAAGAGATTATACAGTTTTGTTGCCTCTTTGCCACCTCTAGTGACAATGTATAATTTCTTAGCATTGGATCCTTGGGGAGCATGTTAAAGTTCACTCAGATGATAATATTCAAAGATTTCTTCCTGAAAAAAGGTTGCTCAATTAACCCTTCAGTGTTGAGGGATTTCAAACACGTGTGTGTGAGAGAAATTTCATGTCCTTAATTAGCAAATTTGATTGCTAGCTTTCCCAAATAAGAATATAAGAATGCATAACTATTGTTATAAATTATGTATAATATACTAATATAAGTGAAATTGGAGATTCGATTGGTTATATGTACATGGGAAAGAAGGATGAAGGAAGGCATTGATGATTGAAGCAAAAAAAGTGGTCAGGGAATTGGGGGAATACTGATTACTGAAGGCTAGTATTTTTTATTTTTTTCTTTTCTTATTCTATTTATTTCCAGCATTGCTGCTAGAACGATTTTTATCAGTTTTGCTTGTTTGGTTGTTCTGCAAGGAGATCGCCTCCAATTTTCCATTTATACCAATTTGAAGTTTTATAATTTGGTTTCATAGCTCCCAATTCTAGAAGCAGTTAATAAGGAAGAATAGAGGAAATGGAGCTACGAGCTGCACTTTAAAAGGGAGAAGGGAAGAAATGATGTTCCCGTATTAAATTAAAATTTATTCTAATATATAAAATTAAAATTTAATAATTAATTTATTTAAGGAAATGAAAATAATTCAATGAAAGGGAAAACTTAAAAAAGTTGAGAGAACATATTTTGAGGAGCGATTATTTGATGGTCCGGGAGTATGATGCTCTTGACCAAAAACGAAAAATAAAAAGAACTGGGAGGGGAATATAGAAAAAGATAAGGGTTTAAGAGTACTTTTCTTTACCAAAAAAGGTAAAGGAACACAAAAAATTTAGTGGGCCGGGTGTATATTAAAATTTTCCTATTTTGAGATAGTTTAATGATTTTTTTAGATATGAGCCAAAAATTTATTGGAAAAGTAGTTAAAAAAAGACTTTATGGAATGAATACTAAATTGGCGCATGTTTTATTTTATGATAGAGTGGAAGCAACCTATTAACATTGTGGAAAATGGCTAATAAGTTGTGTGTTCAATTTCTTAACATATTCAAAATAAAAACAAAATATGTGAAGGATGTGGTCTATGAAGCACCGAAACTTCAAAATTCCTGACGTGTCGTGTCCGACACTCCGACACTTCCCGACATACTCGTTGCAAAGATTAAAAAAAGTTCAAAGGTTACGTTGCATTGCATTTTGAGTTTCAATTATTAGATTCTTTGGATTACGATTACTATTTTATTGAGTTTAATATAAATATTTGGGATATCTTATGTTCTTTGCAAAATTGATAGGTATTATAAGTTTAGCTTTATTTTTGTGTTAAATTATTGAATATTAAATATACACTACATAAATTTAAAATATTATATAATATCGAAACGTGTCATGATGTGTCGAAATTTAATAGTTTTTAAAATTAACGTGTCGGAGTGTCGTGTCAGAGTGTCATATCCCGTGTTGGTGTTGGTGCAACATAGGATGTGGTGATATTCTTTTTTTTTTTTGGTAACCAGATGTGGTGATATTCCAAATGACCTCTTTTAGTACTTTTTATAGTTAATTATTTATTTATTTATTTTTTCTCTTATTTATTTTTCTTTTATCTCCATTTTTTTATTCTTTTATCTGGGTATGGGTTAAAGGAGATAATAATGTTGTTAATTTAAATTAGAGTATATTATTTTTGAACATCATGAACTTATCAACTTCTCAAATTGTCATTAAAAACCAGAAACAAACATTGTTGATGAATAAATCAACAAGGTCGAACATCATTTCAAATAAATTAGAACATGAACCGACTACAAATTGTAGCTATTGCTGCAACATTTCTCGCTGTTTCTATCAGTGTCAATCCACCTGACAACATTCAAAAGCTGCTTCTATCATTGGCAAATATTTTATATGGTTCAGTAATACTGAATCTTTTGGTGCTCTTTCTTACAATATTAATTTTTTTTTTTTATTCCAGTTATTTTTTTTTTAATTTTACCCGCCTATTTACACTAAGGGACCACCTAAAAAATAGTGGTCTCGGTTCACAATAAATAATCTCCTATCATTGACAATCCATTATTAAAAAACACAACTTATTATAAACAACTAATTCAACCCAAAAGTTTAAATTGTTGAATGAGGTTACACTAATAATTTTATATATTTTTAATATATCTTCTCACATGAAAGTCCATTGGGCTCGAAGGGTAGACAATACATCATGTCCAACCTACTCGTGCTAAGAAACTCCACAAGACATAATTAATTATTAATAAATAGAGGCAGTGGGAATCAATCCTGTAATATTAAAAATCTGATACCATATAAAAACCAATTCAACACAAAAACTTAAGCTATTGGATACAAAAGTTAAAATCAAGATGCTAATTGTACAGCACAAAAGGAAGCATACGGCCCTAAGCTTTGCATCTTTGAAATTTCAGGATTTTCAGTTAGGCTCTTCTAAAGTATCTTGTTCTGCACTAGCTTCCTGTTTGTTTTCCTATAGTTTCCCAGTCTTCCCAATTGCAAGAACCAGATCAAGTTGTTTCTGCTATTGATCCTACATGAACACTTGGATACAATACAATCAAGTCAAACATAATTGTCCTCTGACTCCTTTTCCACCCCATCCCGGCAGAAAGTACTTTAGTGACTAAAATGCCCACGAAAAAGTTCAACACTGTCATGTATAGTTATGAAGTCTAAACTCCAAGGCAATAACGAGCATTTTAATCTGATGCCACTGCAAACTTAGTATACAAAGTGGGCTTTTTGAGCAGGGTAGCTCTTATTTAATAATTAATTATTAAATTGATCTTGATTATAAATTATTTTAAAAATTTAACCTTGCTTAAAAACTTAACACCAATCTGTTGATGTTTGACCGTTGACCATCAAGCCTACCTGGGTATCCTTTCCCTACCCGGTATATATTTCGAAAATTTTATCTTACCTGAATAGTCAAGGGAATACCCTAGTATATTTCAAAAATCTGAAAAAATAATTAAATTATTTATCCGAGTAGAGAGGACTGTTGGGTAAACAATTCATCTCCGAAAATTTTATCTTACTCGGTCAGAAACCTTCCACTACGGTCAGGTGTAACAAGCAAATGTGATACAAGGTCTTCAGTAGGTAACACCCTCTTCTCTTCCAAATTCACTTTCCTTTTTTTCAGAATCATTTTAATTTCTTTCCTTATTTTATTTGCAGCTTTCATTGCCCTATAAAACCTTGTTCCAGGCAAGTTGATGGGGAATCCAATCATCCCTTTCAGAAATTCATCAAATTTTGAGGAAAGCTTTGACACAAGGATAGAGTCTTCAATGCTTAAAAATAAGCAACAAGCCAATTCAAACGTGTATAGCTGTACTATGGGATAGACATGCACCTGCACCTTTCCTTCAAATTTGTAAAGTAACAAAAGAATAAAATTATTGATCATGACATTCTTTTTCTTTTCATTTCTAACTGATAACCCATCTTATGAATCAAAACAAAATAACTCAGTCAATCAACACTGTTTCATAAGCTTGTAAAACCGGTGTCCCTCTTAAGACTAGTTATAATCTAAAAGATCATTCATATGATAATTTTTTTATTTCATATGACCCACTTGTTTCAATAAAATGAAAAGAAACCCACATTTGAGCATCTTACCTTCCCAATGTGTGCTTATATGGCGCTGAGCAATGCTTATAGAAACAAGGAAATAAAGATGAATCTTTACTCGGGTAGTCCCCTCTCTACTAGAGTAAATAATTCAATTATTTTCTCAGATTTTTGAAATATATCAGAGTATCTCCTTGACTACTCGGGTAGGATAAAATTTTTAAAAAATACCGGGTAGAGAGGGAGATACTCAGGTAGGTTTGATGGTCAACGGTCAAACAGAGGCAGATTAGTGTTATATTTTTAAGCAAGGTTAAATTTTTGAAATAGTTTATAATCAAGGTCAATTTGATAATTAATTATTAAATAAGGGCTACAGTGGTCAAAAAACCATACAAAGTATCATATCATTGTTGTAACTTGTAATTAGGATTTTTTTTTTTCATTTGTGGTGAAAAGTTTTTAACAATTATGTAAATAGGGTGGCGTATCATAGTTTGTTGATAGTTTAAAAACCTTTTAATCTATCAGTAGATCATATTGAGTTCCTAAAGTATACATTACAAGCTAAAGTAGCAGATAAAATGCAATTACAAACATTATAACTGTACCTCCTGAGTCCTCAGGCACTTGCATCTTAAAAAAAAAAAAAAAACTTAGTAATTTACAAACCTTGACATTGAAATTTATTAGGTACTAATGTACTATATCACAAATAAACATGCATCTTTTACCAAAGAAATCTGCCTTACCCATATTTTGTAAGCGTTATGTCCTAAAGATAGAAATGTTTAGTCAAGAGATTAGAATAGTGATTTTGGATTTAGATACTTTCTCATATATTTATGGATTATATATATTTGAGTGTAGCAGATTATTGTGCATTGTTACTAATGACATTAGCCAAAGGGGTGGTATGTGTATGTTGGGAACTCGGATCCCCCAACTCGGCTCACAAGCCTTTTCGCTGAAGTCAGTCAACAAGATCCTGTATCTCGAATCTCGACAATATTATCTCGGCCTGAACTTCACCGGTCGGGCAGCGCAGTGGAAAAAACAAAAAACACAAAGGAGAGAGAGAGAGAGAAAGAACACAAGCAGATTTTAACGTGGGAAAACCTTCTTCAATGAAGAAGTAAAAACTCACGGGACCTAGTCCAGTTCAAACGTCCGCTATGAAAATAATGGATACAAAGAATCAAAATTCACCAAAGTGGTGGTTAACTCAACCTCTCCAACAATGGTGA